TTTCGTCGCTAAAAACATATGCCTCAGCGCCGTTTGGTCTTTCTACCTTCATTCCTAGGTTCTGCTGGAGTCCCACGTTGGCGTTGCACTGTGTTTTAGCACTATAGTCACTGACTCCATAGTCGGCATAAGCGCACTGGCCTAAAATGTTTTCTTCTCTATCCACATAGCGTTAAAAAAGGTTTTTTANATGTATGTACATATGTAGGCGAGCCTACAATCGATAGTTTGTTTCCGTTTTTTGCAGGGCAGTAAATATACAAGATAGAAATATGTAACACAATTAGGTGAGTTGACAGGCAGTTCTAATATTCTATTCAGTTGGGAGTAGGATTTTCAATATCGATTTTTCGATATCGATATTGTATGCAATGAATTAAATCGAGTCATGATATCGATACTTTCTTAAATATCGATCATTCCTACAAACAACCGGCAAATGTAAACAGACCGACATACATAAATATTTTTAAAGACTTCAAATGACCAACTTCCAGTAGGAAATCAACCTGAAATTATAATAAAAGGATTGCAACCGTTAAACAAATTGGTAAGTATGAAAATTATTCAATTCACATCATTCAAATGTGTTTACTTACATATATTATTAGGTTTCATAAAAAAAAACGTGTCAAAAATGCAGCATATCACGCCCAAGGATCAGCAATCGCACTTAGTAATTGTCGACACCAGTACATCTAATATCGAAGAGGGTAAGATAGCTTGTCGTGGTAGACCGAAAAAGCTTGGCAAGCCGAAAATTTCGCAGGCCATTGTTGCAACTGGCAAAGGACGTGGTCGCCCTAAAAAACCTGCTAACTCCGCTGACGAAATAGGAAATGACGAACTTGCGAAACGTGATACTGTGGAACGACCATCATTACCTCTTCGTCAATCAAAATCTGGTACTAGTGTTGAAGGACGTGGGCGCCCAAGAAAGCCGAGAGTCTGCAGTGATAGTGAAAATTGTAAGTGTTGCTACATATTTTACATTATACATACATATGTACATAATCAAGCCCATTCTGAACAGAAACCCTATGCGTTTTCTCTCTTTTCCCTTTCGTCATATCATGAATAACAATTGCATGTGGACTTCTTATTTTAAATGGCGGAGTTGAGCTGCTAAAAAAGTGTCGAACAGCTCTTTCGAAATTCGAACTTCCTCCCAAATTTTCGTAGAGTTAATTAAAGGAGTTGATTAAATTGGAGTTAATTGAATTTCTCTCTCGGGAGAAGCAAATTCTCGGAGAACAAACTCCTTGGGAGTATTCAGAATTGGGCTGAATGTGTACATATACATGCATATGTATGTATGCTCACCAAAATATTATTGCAGCATCCTACGATGAAAAACCAGATTACGAAGAACGTCGTCCAGTAGGCAGACCGTCCACTGGCGCTGTAAATCTAAATATTGTGCGTACGGGTCGGGGACAGGGCCGGCCAAGAAAATCAATTCAGTCCAATCGTCCTAATGCTGTACCACCAAATGCAATTGACAGTCAACCTGCTAGAAAACGTGGACGACCATACAAAGGTGGAGTGCCGTATGAGCATACAGGTAAACCTCGTGGGCGACCGAAGGCAAATAAGCATAATAGTTGTGAGAAGGTGCAAGGAGAAAGCCACCAGAGTGACGTCGAAGTAGAAATGGAGACCAAAGATCAGGACAACAAAACTTTACTGCAGAATGAAGCGGGCAGCTAAAAAAGGCTTAAAGATTAATATATGTACATAAATAAATAAACATTAATGTTTCTTACTAGGTGATAAGCAGGGAACGGATTTTTAGGACCCAAACCCCTATAAAAAGTCAAAATAGGATAGAAATGGCAAAAGAAAATATCGAAATTGGCAGGAATAGAAGTCGAAACAATGGCAATAGAAGGCACTAAAGAAGACAAGCACCGAAAAATAATCAAAAAATACATATGTGACCTGGTCTACGGAAAGGGGACTTAGGTGTCAAAAAATCAATTTTCACTTTTTGGTTGATTCGGATGGAAGATGAGATGCTTTTTCACGTGGTGAAAAGCAGAAAATCCTAACTTGCTTAGAAGTGTACTAGAAATGTTTATTTTACAAGTAAAGTGAGAAAAACTATGAACTAGTTTCATTATATGAAAAATGTGTACTTAAAATTTTTGACTATGTTCTCCACTCGAGTTTTTAACTCACAAAACTTTAANTTATTTTAGAAATGTTTATTTTACAAGTAAAGTGGGAAAAACTATGAACTAGTTTCATTATATGAAAAATGTGTACTTTAAATTTTTGACTATGTTCTCCACTCGAGTTTTTAACTCACAAAACTTTAATCTTTATATGTAGTTGTAGCAACATTGAAACACAAAATGCATTTGCAAGTTTTCTGGCAGCATTTTCATCGATTTTCGCGAAGAAAAGCCTTGAATATACTAAACTTGCGCTCGACGTTAGTTGATACAAGTGGCGCCCAATTTAAATATGGAACGTTTGAAACTTTCATATTCGGGCAGACTCTGAAATTCACTTCCGTGAGAATTTCAAACCCTGCCCATTTGAATTCAAAGCGATTTTGATTGAAATTCACTCGAAAGTGATTTGCAGAACCTGCCTGATTATCAGAAATAAGGGCTTTTTCCTCGCTATAATCACTTTTTTAAAGGTAGAAAAGGCAAATATCTCAAAAAGGCAAAGAGACAACATCAAATGTGTATATATGATATATGTGGAATGAGGGAAAGCTAAATCGTGGACATTCTGAATCGAATATAATCTATCCCTTTAGCAGAAAAATTCCATAAATTCCGATCCATGGTGATAAGTATAATGACGATAAGTAAAAATTCTTATAATATATAAAATAATTTTGTTGCGTTTCAAAAGAGGAAAAAACTGCGAAAGAAAGTTTTTCAACAATTTAATTTAAAACATTACAAAGTATTCTAAGATTGAAAATTGTAAAACAAGTGGGAGTTCATCTTCGTTGTTGTTGTTGTAACAGCATACAAATTCCCCAAAGAGATTTTGGGGAGTGTTGCTGGAGTGACAGTCCTTGGCCAGATATAAATCTGGGTCGTTCCGGTTACGTAGACCCGACTGTCGTGGGAACGGGAGTTCATCTTCGTATTCATCTTTATCCGTGTCTTTTTATTTATCTTTAACTTTGACCTGTTCTTCATCTTTATCATTGGCTGATCCGTCAATATAGGTTGTGAGTGTCTGTGGTTTTGTCGTTGCCCTTGTCTTTGTTTCTGCCCTTGTATCTTGCTCTCTGTANTTCATCTTCGTATTCATCTTTATCCGTGTCTTTTTATTTATCTTTAACTTTGACCTGTTCTTCATCTTTATCATTGGCTGATCCGTCAATATAGGTTGTGAGTGTCTGTGG